GACTTAGGTCTTCGATAGCACTTATTCGAACAAAAACTCCAACTCACGCATTTCAGGACATCTACAACACAAAGTTACTTAAATTTTCCGAGGCTCCAGCCACTCAAATCCGATCTATGCAAACAATGTGAATGGTTATTTAGTTAAGCTTGGCCTTGGTGATAAACCCTTACCTTCTCCCGTTCTTTGTTGTTATTATGTCCTGTTGTGTGTTGAGATTAGCGATCATGTCTTCATCTCACGGTAGTTATCTCACTGACTATGTAAAAATCACTTTGACTGTAATATGCACGTGTAGAGATGCAGCTAAATGACGATGGATACGTTGTGCAAACCCATTGTGAACCCCGTCATCTCGGTCCATTGTTCACACCAGAACGGATAGTACGGTCATGAAATCCTAACAGCAATTTCGGATTCAAGTACCGATTGTCTAAAAAGAAAATATCCCAGTATGGAATGTATCAATCTGGCCAGTCTGCCATTATTATACCTCAAATAGAAAATAATAAAATTATAATGTGTTGTTTCGTGAAAGATGGTTACCGGCCATCTACTTCCAGTCATTTTAAATCTCTCTCCGTTATCATTGATTTTTTCTATCGATCGTTTAATTGCATTGTCCCAAGAAAAGTGATTCTTCCTGTTCTTACTAACATTACCGTTGCATATCGGTTTGGGATGTCGGATTTTTATCCACGGATCTAACCAAACAATAAATCAGATTTACAATCAAAACCCTATAGAAGTAGTAAGGTGGAAATTCTGCATGCAGCTGAACCACGGGTGTGTACGAAAAGGGTGCGTAGGTGATTGGGTATCAGTTACTTTGAACAAAGCTGATTCATATCGACCAGAACTTAATCGAGTCAACAAGAGCTCCCAAACCAGGGAGGATAGAAGCTCCAAATGATGCTGCATTCTCTTGGACTAGAATGTATCGTTGATCAGATCAAGAAAAATTTAACTTCCCCCTGGCTACTCGTTTGAAAAATCAGACTCGATCTCGTTGGTCCGTTTATCCACACTGTGTCTGTCTGAAATGTGAGCTAGATGATTGTGTGCTTCCGTATTTCCGATTGCAGAATGCTTACAAAAGATCCGAATATCCGGCCCTCGGCTACCAGTCTACTTCGACATCCGTTTGTAAAGCGTCACATGCGCGTAAGTCAGAAAAAAACGAAGGACAATATTTGTTGATAGGATAATTGTAATCGTTTATACCTCAAGCAAAAGATGAACCTGCCAATAACGTGTTTTTTACAGTGTGCGTCTTTTTTAAATCAGATACTTACTTCGATGCGACAATATATTTGGTTTATTTTTATTCTTCTATCAACAAAATGGCCTGTTAGAACTAGTTTTTCGATTCCATAGACTACCGTGCGTGTACCTGAAGGGACAACGGTGTCCTCGATCAGCGGAAGTAGTCGGCCTGTCACCCTGAAGTTCACACCGTTGCACCACAGTTTCTCAAATACTCATGATCCCCAAATAGCTTTCGATCACCTAAATGATGCAAATGGAACCACTGATTTGGAATCCGTTAGAATTGGTTTAGTAGATCGAGATTGTAAATCAAACTGATCAACCAATCATGTGTCTACATTCGAGTTCTCTATTTCTCTCTATTTCATATTTAGTACGGCTTCATCTCACGGTCGTGTGGACATTTATTCGTAGCTCACTTGCTCCCTATTTTCCACTTGTTGTTCAGGAACTGTTCCGACATCAATGGATGTCACAATCCATGGAGTCGCACACAATTGAGGAGCAAATGGACATGTTGAAACAACTATGGTGAGTATAGTGAATTCACGTGATTTGAC